TGGCAATTGGACAATTAAAACACATTTTGGGGGGAAAGAAGAACGAACTGGGAAGGAGGGTAGAGAAAACGGTGCAACAATGAATGAATGAGAACCCAAAATCTCTGTAAATGTTCATTAAAACTAATAAAATTTAATAATAATTAAAAAATAAAATATCAATTAAAATAAAAAGCCATAACTAGCTATAATTTTAAAAAAAGCAGTCTGGCTGCACCCTCTCCAAGACATATCTGTTTGTTCTCTTGGCCGTCCATGGGATGTTGATGTTCAGCACTCTTCTCCAACACTATAGCTCAAAGGCATCAGTTCTTCTTCTGTCGCCCGTATCCATTGTCCAGTTCTCAGATGCATAGCAAGTGATTGGAAAGACTATGGTCTGAATCAGATGCACAGTGACCCTCTGTGGCCTCACAGTGACCTTACATAGTGACCCTCTGTGGCCTCATGTTGTTGCTGTATACCATAGAGTCAGAAATGACCAATAGCTGAGCCTCTGGCAAGTTTTCACAGGCAGTTAATCACACTGGAGGAGACTGTCCATCTTTTTTTTTTAAATGAGACTGTCCATCTTTCTCTCACAAAACAGCAGGGGGTCTTGAAGCAGTTTGGTACGCCTTTGGGATTGCAGTGCAGCTTCTTGCCACTAGGCCACCAGAACTCCATAGTGGACTCATAGTACCTTATATAGTGACCTTGTATGGCCTCACAGTGACCCTCTATGACCTCATAGTGACTATGGCCTCACAGTGACCCTCTACGGCCTCACAGTGACCCTCTATGACCTTGTAGTGACTATGGCCTCACAGTGACCCTCTACGGCCTCACAGTGACCCTCTATGACCTCGTAGTGACTATGGCCTCACAGTGACCCTCTACGGCCTCACAGTGACCCTCTATGACCTTGTAGTGACTATGGCCTCACAGTGACCCTATATGGCCTCACAGTGACCCTGTATGGCCTCACAGGGATTCCAAGGCTGCCGATCTTCAGGTTTTTCTTCTGCCCAATTCCAACTGTCCACCTTCTGTTAGCCATGTCCCCCTTCAGTTTGCAGCGGCCCCCTTTTGTGATCATTGAGGAATGAGGGCTCGCTCCGTAACTGGTGTCACATAACTCTAACTGCTCTTGAGTCAGAACTCAGAATCTGCTCAGAGCTGACCTTCCAGTGAGCTTTCAGAGGTTGTAAACAGCAAGGGAAGAGGCTGTCCACCTTCCTCCCTGGGAGCAGCTGGAGGATTCAAACTACTTATGTTTGGGTTGGCAGTGCAGCTCCCTACATACTAGGCCACCAGAGCTCTCTATTGGTTTTGTTAATGTTTATAAATATTACTGTTAAATATTAATTGTAAATGGCAACTTTTCCTTCATTAAATGGATATGCTCATATTTTCCAATTTCCTTCTTGATTTCTTACTTACTACTTTTCCCTTCTAAAATGGGACTTATTTTTCTTCCCCCTGGAAAAGTCGGAAGTTTAGGTCTAGTTGAGTGTTCTGCTCTTTTTATCTCTTGTTAGTATAAGCACGAATGATATTTAATGTTACCCCTGAACAGGTTTGACTATATACTTTTCCCATTAAAAAAAGCAAAAAAAAAAAAAAAGTCTCCCTGTTTCCTTTCGCATCTGCTCTGCCTGCTGGTCCGCGGCTAGGTGCGCTGGCTTGCTTTCCTTCTGTTTTTTGTTTGTATGGCGGTCTGAGAACACGAGTACTAACCCTTTTTGTCTTCTTGAGAATTCGCTTGTCTTCAAAACGGCAACTGATTTCTGGGCAAGCACCACGTGCACTTTGAGAACGCGATTGCTCAATTTTTCCTGCTTGGCTCAGACCTTTTGATCCCCTCTTTTGGAGAAGAAATTGAGGCCCCTGAGGTGCACGGACTTGCTGGATCCCGCAGTGAGGCCGGGGCAGAGCCCGCGTTCTGGGCCAATGAATGAAGTATTGTGGAGAGTTCACGCAGGCATGCTTCAACAGCATCCCTGCCCGGCTGGCAAGCCCGCTGCCCAGAAGCCAAGCAGGGCAGCCTGGGGACAAGCTGCCTGCTTCACGGGCTCCCTCTCTCTCCGGACCTCCTGGTGCACAGGTCAGCACGCTGACCGGCTCGCCTCGGTCCTCTGTGGCCTTCCCTGCAGAAGGAATCCTACCCTGGGGGGCGGGGCTGGCTCCTTATGCAAATAGCCCCAGTGGCTCCGCCCACTGATGTTCTGGGCATGCCCAGATACGTCAGACTCCTGGGATGAATGCAGTTTTGAGAGTCAAGCTGGGACCGGCTTTGTTGGCTTTTGTGCGGGCATGATTTATCTGAACAGGCTTTTACATAGTTTGAACTCTTTTTCCTTGAAATGCGCTTCTCCACGTTTAAAAATAAGATTCGTGAGTTTGGGTTTTTTCTTTTTTTTTATCTACTCTGCAATTTTTTTTTTTAATTGGAGAATTTAGTCCATTTACATGTAACCATATAATTGTTGTCATTTTATCCTTCTGTGTTTTTCTCAGTTAACAAAATTTTTTGCTTTTCTCCTTAACTTAATATAGGACTTAGGATACTATTGGTTTTTCATACATTTACACGAGATCAAATAGGCACTTTTCTGAGCGACTCATCTTACTGTTTTCCTACGTCACCCCCACAACAGCATATTTGAGCCCATTGATACAGTCACTGGGTAATCTCCCTGTTTTTCATTGACCCTTTACAAACAGCCCCTAGATTATAAATGAGCGCTGTACCTGACTCTACCTTTGGGTGGAATTTTTATGTAATTTGAAATACTTAGGTATGGGTTGAATCCGACGTCAGTTATTCAAATATTTGTCTTAATCCAAAACCAAACTCACAGCTTTCAAATGGATTGGAACACACAGGGGGCCAATAGGCCAGAGCAGGTTCACCTCATGGTGTTTCTAAAGGTGTATTACAGAAGGACACACTCTTTCTCCTACAGATCAGCTTTTAGATTTGAACAGCTGACCTTTAGGTTAGTAGCCAAGTGCTTAATTCGATGTGCCATTAGGGCGCAAACTTAAGTTTGTCTTAGAGCAAAATCCATAAAATGGATCAACATAGTGGCGGTATCAGCGGGCTCAAGTATTCTGGAGGTGGTGAGGATAGCACAGCATAGGTCAAGGTCCAGATCTGCTGTTCATAGGCTTGCTGTGAGTCACAGTCGACTTGAGGGCACCCAACAACAACAAGAACAAGAAGTCTACCTCTCTATGCATAAACAAATACTTCTAGGTACATCACAAGAGCTCTGGTGGCCTAATGGCCAGAAGCTGCACTGTAATCCCAAAGTCATGTGGTTCAAGGCCACCAGCTGCTCCACATGATGATGGACAATCTCCTTTCGTGTTATTAACTGCCTCTGAAAGCCCTCCAGACGGTCAGCTATGGGTTAGTTCCGACTCCATGGTATACAACATACTATATGCTATACCAAGGAGCCAAGCAAGTTGAAGTTAATGATCTCAATCTCTTCACCATCTGTCATGATGCTGCCAATTGGCCCTGTGATGAGAATATTTGTTTTCTTAATGTTGAGCTTCAATGCATATTTAAGGCTGTAATCTTTGACCTTCTGCAACAAACGCCTCAGATCTTCTCAGTTTTGGCAAGATTGTGTCATCTACATAACATATAACACAGGCTGTTAATGAATCGTTCTCCAATCGTGATGCCACATTCCTCTTCATAGAGCCCAGCCTCCCAGATGATCTGTTCTGCATGTAGATCAAAAGGTGTGGAGATAGGATGCATCCCTGGTATATACCTTTCCTGATTTTGAACTATGCAATGTTTTGCTCAGCTTGTTTGGCTCCACAATCAATACTCTTGGAAGCAGCAGCCAGGAAATAAAAAGAATTATATTGTGAAAATGTGCTGTCAGGGACCTCTCCAGAGGACTCAAGAGCAACAGTCTTAATCTAGAGACTAAGGAGCACCTAATCCAGGACGTGGTCTTCACAGTTATTTGCTATGCATCAGAGAGCTGGACAATGACTAAGAATGATAGGTGAAGAAAAAATGCCTTTGAGTTGTGGTGCTGGAGTATTGAATATACCATGAACTGCTAAGAGAACAAACAGGTCCGTCCGAAAGAGAATGAAACCAGGCTGCTCTTTGGAGGCAAAGATTTTGAAGCTTCATCTGACATACTTTGGCCATGTTTCAAGGAGGGGATCAGTCCTTAAGAGAGCATCATGTTTGAAAAGGTGGAGGGGCAGTGCAAGAGAGGAAGACCTTTGATGAGATGGATTAACTCAGTGACTGGGGTAACGGGGCTCAGAGAAAGTTAAATTGGTTAAAGAAAGAGTAGATTCTTAGCTGTTGTCCACAGGGTTGCTATGAGCCGCAGGCGACTTGACAACACTTAACAAGGAGCTCTGGCTAGTGGTCTAGAAGATGAGTCGTGATGTCAACCTGAAGGCAGGCGGTTGGACTCCATCATCTGCTCTGCGGAGAAATATGGGCAACCTCTCGTGCGATTTAGTGCCCCTGAAAGCCCATTGGAGGGTCAGTCATGAGTTAGTTCAACTCTAGGCCCCGTAACTTCTCGTTCTGCCCAATTCCCTGGGCAGGCCACGTGCAAATCTGAATGCATGTCCCAAGCATGCCTATGCTTTCTCCTAAACACTCCTGGATACTGTCTCGATCATCAGCTGCTCCCGCCTGTGTCCAGGTGGGTATTTAAAGCCTGCCCACTCGCCACGAGGCTGTGCATTCTCACGGGTAGTGGACCCTCTCTTTATCTCCAGGACCTACATTGCGCCTCTCCTCGAGTTGGTGCCCAATGAGTCTGCAAGTTAAGCAAACTGATGATGACTAAGGGGTCCCCCGAGGCAACAGCCAATGACCAGAGAGGCAGAGAGGCCGCCGGACGGGGCTGGGGCCGCCCAGCAGGTCCCGAAGGTCAGAGTCAGCCGGGGCCGGGCAGGTCGGTCCCGAGGTCACTCGGCTTGGAGCCGTGGGCTCTAACAGGTGGTCACCGCCCGCCTAGGCCGCGGGAGACGCAGCTGAGCCCGCCGGACCCGGCGCGACCCCCGGAGCGCGCTTCGCGCTTGGCCCCTCCCGGCCTCCGTGGCCGCCGCCGGCGCCGCTCGCGTGACCCGGAAGCGCATTCTCCTTAGCAACGGCGGGACCGCGCTGGCGCCGGCGTCCCCGCAGCCACGGTGAGGCCCC